CGGCGATCCACAGCGCGAAGTTGATGTATTTCCTCGGCGACCAGCACGGATCAGCTCTAGGCATGACGAAGCGGATATCGTCCTCTTTTGGAAGGCCAAAAAAAAGTAGTTTCGCTTTCACAACGAAACGCACAGCGTTCCTTCACGGCATGGCGGCGGCGGCAACAATACTACAGCGAGAATAAAAGTTACTCCTCCTTTCTTTGCGTTAACATTTGGGCGGCGTTATTCAAATCTTCCCACATAGTGACGTAGACATGTGAGGGCCTGTTAGAACGAGCCGTTTTAGGTAGGCGTGGTTGACTTAACTTTTATAAAGAATATCTCTTTGGATTTGAGACTTTAATCTTTGCAACTTTACAGATCTTCTTTATGCACGAACAGCTTGTAACACTCCAAAGAGAAAGGAAAAATTGAAATCGCATCATATGAACCATATGACTGACCTTTAAAGCAGCTAAATGCTTACAGAAATTCAGGGGTATAACTGTTTAAAGGTTTCAGGGTTGACTGCTTGTGTTCTAAACCGTTTCATTTGCAGATTATATTTCTTTTGCTTGTTTCCTTTTAAATTGCCTCTTTCATTTAAAGGAGAAACTCGTGTTATGTGAAGAATGTAAATAGCTCCCTCATTCCTTCTGAATTTAGTGCTTTGTATTACTATTTGTGTTTCTCTCCTTTATAATTGAAATGAAAATGTGGCCTTTCATTCACAGATTTCCAAGTGTATCTGACCCTGGACCGTCTCAAACACAAGGGAGCCATCAAACGGGTGCTGTTCCTCCATAACAAGATGTCTCATTATTCAAAGAACATGACTGTCTCCAACAGCCAGGGACCGGCCTGCGAGGAGCTTCAGGCTTATTTAATAGTGAGCAAATCCATTCACATTTATTTATTTGACAGATGTTTTTATCTAAAGCATTTTGCAGTGCTTGCAAGGTATATATTTTATAGGAAATCAAACCTGTGACCTAGGTGTTCCTGATGTAATGCTCTATCAGTTGAGATACAGGAACACACAGAATCCCTATGTGACTCATTCACTTCTGCTGAGCATGCCAGTACTGGGCTGTGAAAAGTTTAGTGTAGTTTTGTTTTACTTGGCCAACTGAAGAAGTGCTCATGCCTTTATGTCATCAAATAAGTGTTTGCTCTGTGCTTAAAGGTGTAGTGGCAGATAGCCCAGATGTTTGGCACGGGAATATGTCGTTATTTTGTTTTCGAAAAGGAACAATGCGTTACAGAGCTAAAGAAGGATTTGACCTGGAAAGCCAAAGCTCTTTCCTGGACATAAAAGAGCATGTTGTAGAGCTTATAAGCTGGACTGAAATTCCCCAGCCTTGAGCTCATTGAACTAGAGGCCCCATTTCTCTCTCCATCCACTTTTGGCTCTCTACCTCTCTCTCTCTCTCTCTCTCT